CATCCACCCAGCTGAGGCACCGGCCTGACTGCGCTGAGCTTGTTGTTAAAGATCCAGATTTATAATCTGGTTCATCCGCAGCAGCAGCTCAACAGAAGGGCATTTGTTCAAATGGTCTGTAACATTAGTAAATGTGTTAGCAGAAGAGCACACGTCGCCCCATTGTAACTGGCGCTTTGGTGTTGCCAATGAAGCGGTGAACGTAGTTATAATGATGTTAATGCCACAGCTTTATGAATTAAAATAAAAATTAATTTGACAGATACTATTACTTTATCAGTGTGTTTTGGCTGAAGTAGTATTTTAGTCATAGCAACTCACCTTGGAGAACGTATTTGGTAATTTTCCCTTAGTCAACAGAATTTTAAAGTTCTCAAAGTTCTTGAGAAAATGCAAATAGGACAGGTGTGCCCAGACAATCCCGTGTCTGCATTATGCTGATAAACAGGAACTCGCTTGCGTGAAATTGGGTCATATGGCCAGAGATTTAAATTACTGGCAGTAAATTTGCCTAAATACATTAGAATAAGGCTTTCATATTGTGTGGGACATTTAAATGTATTGTAGCATTTGGAGTGAATTATTGTTCCAGGGTTTTAGTGGTTTCAGTTGGTGTTTTTAAATCTGATGGGAGCATCACATTGTTATTTAGCTATCTGTCTCATAAGGCTAGTGGGAGGGAGAGAGCATCAGCTTTATAAAATTTGGAAGCATACTCCTGGGAACTGAACAGTTTTGTGTCCAATAGCCCTGAGCTTAAAATGATGTTTTAAATCTCTATTTCTTTCCAAGTGAGGGAGGTGGGGGGAAGCGCAGATACCTCTGCCTTACTTTCCTTAAAATTATGTACTCCGTTTTTGCACTCTTCAATGTAGCTGTCTGCATTCCACCTACACAACTGTGTAATATCTGTGTAGTAGTCCCTTCACTGTGAATGTTTTTGGGGCACACATAATGATTGTGGGTTTTTGCCTTATTCCTTGGTCTTTTTTTTTTTTTTGTTTCTTTGATTTCCTGCCCCCAGTTTCTAGCTACTGGAGTCATGAAGTAGCAGTAAATTTGGTGACTTTACAGTGTTATGTTGTCTTTTGCCTAAGGTTTTGAACATATAGGAAATGTTGTGTTTAAAGGGAAGGGGAAAATGTGCTGATAACCTCTGTTTTTGAGGTACTTCAGGAAAAGAATGGTTTCTGTCTACGTAATCTGTATAAAATTTTAAGTACTCCTGTAAATAGTTGCGCGTTAAGGTGACTGCTTGAAATTGAAGTTTTGAGGTAGTCTGTTGTTGCAGCATTTGTCATTAACCTAAAAAGGTTTAATACTCCAATCATTGTTGACACTGCTTAGGAGAATAATATCCGTTTGGGATTACATTCCAGAATGTAAAATAGCTGAGAGGTATTGCAGTCAGATGCTGCTGAGGTCTGTATCTGTTTCTACCTTAAATTCAGAACTACTGTTTATGAATCCTGTGGGTAGTCCAAGGATGTCCTAACATTTGTAGTTACTTTTGAAAGGATTTTTTTAAACATTCTTTCCTGCGGCTCACACAGAGACGCCAGCTTTCTCATAAATACAACATTTTGAAAGCAGCTGGGGATAGCCCGTCATGTCCAATTATTGCATATCAGGTTTATTAACATCTCACTTTAATTGCCTAAAAGCATGAGCAAAAATGTTTTGCTCTTTTCAAACTTTAACGCTAAGCAGGGAGTTCTTACATGGCTTTTGAAGTACGCATGAACACAAAGTTGCAGTTAGGTTTTATATAAGCTATTCATACTTGATTATGATAGCAACTTGCCAGGATATATATAATTTTGGTGTTTTACACTGATTTAAATTCCTTTTATTCTTCACTGAAACGTATAATGATTTACTGAACACCCACTTTAATTATTTTTTAATAAAATATAATTTATACGTAATTATTTTCTGAACTGATAATGGAAAGTACATGTGATTACACTCCATCACTGTACCTGGAAAGTGGTGGAAGCTGAGGAGGAAGGATCAGGGAAATGGAATCAACCATTTCTTTCTTGGAATTGTTTTGACTCACAAATTGCCTGTGAGTGCAATTAGGCCTTCATCTAATTACATAAATTCCACTTTCCACCTTTTGAATGTAAAGAGACTTTTTTTCTGTTTTGGAAACCACCAGGTTTTCATCAGTCTGATGCATGTGAACATCAATTAGACTTTGCTAGGTTGCCTTAAGTTTTGCCTTCATATATGAAGTACTGACTCAATTTTCGAACAGGTGAGCAGAGGTGTATAGTGGTGACCCAAATAAGTAGTAAGGAAGTCTTCAATGGCATCGTCACCTGGAAGTTTTGACTTTCACTACTGTTTTAACGGGTTTGTTCATGTTTTCATGTTACTCTTCAAGGCTTATGCCACAGAAACCTAGGCTAGATTTTAGCTGGAAATACCAACTAAAGCAGAGTATGATGTGTGTTGATAGTTCTGGATGTAATGGAGTTGAGAAAGTGGTGTGCTCCCTTGCTATGCTGGGGAGACGTTTCTGTCTTGGCAGAACTTCATTTTTTCCTGACACGAGCGTAAAACCCCACACTCCAGTTCTGCTCATGGTGTTAACCGCGAGGCCACCAAATCAGACTCAAGAGGATTGTAATTGCTTTGTCAACAAGTAATATTTTTAAATTTTGTACTAGAGAGGGTTTGTCTAAGCTTCCTAGAATGAATAACTTCCGCTATTTCTGGTCAGCACTTCATCAGAAAATTGATTGCGCTCAGCATTAGGCTGTTTTACAGGCTTGAGCATAATTTAGCATTTTTAAATCATCTGCGAGTTGCACTGGCATATTACAAAGACTTCTAAAAATTCTAAACTAATTTTTGTAATTCGGTCATGTAAAGAATAACTTATCTCTTAGTGTATGCTAGAACACCAAAGGTGCAGGTGTCACTAAACTCTCCTAAATTGAATATATTTACATGTAAAATGTGCTGTTTGTGAAATGGTGTCCTTAGAATAACTGTGGAAATAATAGAGCAGATATTACAGGATATTTTCTTGCTTTAATAGAATTCATTTCCACTAATTTTTATAGCCTCATTTACTAGCAGTCATTGTCAGTACCAAAAGAAATCACTGTGTGACAAACGAAACTAATTATCAGTGGACATGTTATTTTGGTGGAAGGCAGCTGCCGACTCTATGACATAGTATTCTGTAGTATTCATTTTTTCCTGTGTGTTTTTGCCTGTGTAGCAACTGTTAAGTCTTTTTGCTATTGTTCTCGTTAAGAAAAAAAAAAAAAAAAAGACTTTGAAGTTACTTTAAGCACAGATGGTCTTTGATTTTAAAGAATGTGTTGTAAATGTGTTGTAGAGAACTGTACTAGAGTTGAAGCCTAATGGAAGAGTGGCATGTTCCTGTTTGCCCTGGCTTGGTCTCCCCCGTGTCAAGTGGAGTGAATCTGTGGCACTTAAAATGTACGTCGTATGATGGGGGCTGACAATTAGTTTACGGCTTGAGCGCGTTCCCTGTTGTGTTTTAGCTCCTCTGCAGTATGATGTTGCCAGTATAACCCGAGAAGTGGTATAGTGTAAATAGGAGTGACTGGGGAAATTTCTGAGTTTCAGATATAACTACAGTCAGAGAGGAGAATTATAAAAGCCATATGTATGTCAATCTCTTCCAGATCTTGCATCCCCTTTTGTTTTTAGTGGTATTTGTGTATGCGGTGTGCAAGGAGAAGCAGGAGCTATAAATCAGAAAGACTTTACATGACGTGTTAAAGGGTTCTGGACGTTTACCTGCCCCAGCCCCTGGATGTCTGTGGCCTGTGTAGTGGTGAAGCTGCTGAAAATCTGAGCGAGCTCCTCAAGTGCACTGTGTATAAATAGTTGATAACAATGTTTACAGCTCTGCAGCAGCACTCTTTTGGGTGGGGGAAAACGGGAGGTGATGTCAAACCCTCTGCTTTATCCTCATCTTCATGAAAAGTCGTGTTCAGTTCAGGATTTGGCGAGGTAAACGTGGGTCCTTATTCCCACCCGGACTTCAGGGGTATTCTCAGGAGCCAGCAGCGAAGGGATCCCTCCCCTCTGGGGCTGCTCTCACCTTCAGAGGCTGATACCAGCTACAGGCAAGAGCTTGCTGTTTTATCTGCATTGTCCATCGCTACCTTAATGAGTGAAATGGTTAAGTATCAGAGGGGGCGAGCCTCAAGGAATGTGTCTTCCATTTGACTTGAATATTTCGGTGGATAAAGGGGAGAGGGAGGGAGAGGAGAGAGCGAGAGAAATCCACTTACATCACTGGAACTGCATTGAGTGTGTGCCTGTGTGCAGGTTAAGAGACAGACTACAGTGTCTTTGCTTTCTGCAGGAAGCAGCAATGCCGTTTGTATCCTAAGAGGAATTTTTTATTTAGAAAAGGAAGCATTCTTTCTACCCAGGAAATGGCTTTCCTTGTGCGTTGCTATGCCAACTGCCTGCAGCCATGGTCTTCCAAAGTAAGCACAATAACGTAATTATATTGGCGTATTGCATTCAGACTCATGATTCTCTGGGTTTTTGTGTGTGTGTGTGTGTAACTGTTGTATTTTTGTTGCTGACTCTTTGGGCGGTAGACGGGCTCGTCGTGATTGCGAGGAACAGGCATCATAAAACTAAATGTCCATCAATGTCATGCTGTTAAGATTAATTGTGCAAACTTGGTTAGCTGAGTGGAACAGAGATCACTGGTCACTACTCTGTCAGCATCATTAGCAGCCAGGGGAGGAGGTCCCTATCTGCGGGCTCTGCCCTGATTTTGGGGGAGTGGAGGGTAGTGCTGGAGCAGGGGGGAGGCTGCGTGTGCGAATGTGTGTGATTGCAAATGAAACAGGAGCGTTAACAATGCTTGGCTGAATGCTGGAGGCTGGTTCCCGCACCCTGACTAATATAATACTGTATTAAGCCTTTTTGAGGGAGTCTCTGTGCAGTCAGCCATTTTAGCTTTTTTCCTCCTTTTTCTTTGCTTCCCATTCCTCAGGCTCCGGGAATGGGTTTGTTCCCTTGGATGAATGCTGGCTATGTAGGGTTTCATCAGGCTCTCTACATCCTGACATGCTTAGACTTTCAGTGTTACAAAAATGGAGCCTAACGCTGTCGTTTGGATCGCGGCGCCGCACTACAAGTGCGAGGGGGGGTTTGAGCTTACCAGGAGTGACACTTTTAGCTCCAGCTTGGTTTCCCCCCCTCCTCCTCTTTTTAATGTAATGCCGTAGAGGGTGACTTGCCATCCATGAGAAATTGGTACATGATGTGTAAATTCAGCTCAGCTTATGTTTCTTCATTATGAAACCCCTTGCAATCCCAGCTAACCATGGAGTTATGGGCCAGCAGGAGAAGCACTCAGTAAGTATTGCAAATTCTGTTTGTTCTATCAATAACCTGTCACGGGCAAACTGCATGGAGATTGAAACTGCTTGTCGTCCTGCTCACGGGCTTTCCTGCTTGTGAATTTAATAGTGGGTTTGGAGGGAAAGCTGTACCTGAGGTGGCATTAGAGTCGGTGGCTGTATTTAAGATTGTTTTTACCTTAGAAAAGGCAACTCTGTAGGTTCTTTTCGAATGTTAAAAATTTACTGGGAAAATGCTGAGATACATTGGGGCAAGAAGCTGTGAGCATTCAATTAAAATCATTATGCATTTGCTAAAACTTTAAAGAAATATTCAAGCTGTAGAACAAGTGATATAATTGTAAGTGGTGATAAGAATAGATTTATTCTGTCTAGTGTATGGTAGTAGTGTGCCGTTGCCTCATAGCATGGCGTTTAACATCTGTGATATGCTTATGTTGAAAACGCAGAAACTGTTAGTAAAACATGGAATGAACAAAAGGCATAAGTCCTGATGCTTTCTAATTGATCCCATGAGTCAGCTACACCTTTGTCATGCTTTAATCCCATAGGCTGCCTGTGTTTATTGTTTGGGAAAAATGCATTCATAAGCAGAAGAGCAAACATTATTTAACAAGGCCTCAGGTGTCAGGAATTAGAAATTTAGGTTTTACAGGATAAAAAGATTCTAGAAGTACAGATTCTTGTTGCTCAGTTAACACGTTTAAATCTTCATGCTAGATTTGGTATGATTCAGTATAATTCTCAATCTGACAATTTGTGTCTTGAAAAGATATATAAATATGTTATGTGCATCGTGTGTGTGTTAGAATGTGCATGGGAATGTGTACAGTATGTTCAGCATATACAGCTAAGGATCGTAAATATTGGGAAGATGTGATAGCAGGAACTTTTTAAAGGAGGAACATTTTCTTCAGGAATTCAGTTTTGATTATGTAGAAATATGGAAACATTTCAGAAGCATTTCTAGAAACATTTCAGAATGTGTCTAGTGGATTTTTCTTACGCATGTAGCAGACATATCACAGCTTCTTGTTGTGGACTGTTTTGTTCCTTTCCCTTCTTCTTAATTACATTCTAAGTATAAGGGAGTTCGTGTTACCAAATCATGTGGCGTTCATGAAATATTTAGAACTTAATCTAAAAATGAAAAACCTTCTTTCCTCCTGAAACTCAAGTACTGAAGAAGCTGAAATAGGATAACTTGAATTGCAAATACAAATGAAATGAGAAAGCTCTTTCTACTCTCCAGAGAATGTTGGTGAAAAGTTCTAGATTGATTCTTGTGAAACAGCAAGTCTAACTGATATAAAACAATTGCTTATAGATAAAGGAGAAAATTAACCTGGCATTTTAGAGACTCAGTGTTACAAGCTCTGTCATATTTTAGCTGTATTGCTTTGAGTTAATTAAATCACAGAGGTGAATTTCACTCTCTGGACCAAAAGGTAGGAATAGTAAACAGGCAAAGGTTAAGGTACTGCTTTAGGAGAAAATTAGTTTACATTAAGAAATGTCCACATATCTATAAGAGAAAGAAATCATACTTTGACATAGGGCTGTCACACAATTGCAGATTTTGCATGAACAAAACCCATAATTTAGAGTTTATATACAAGTTTAAAATGAAAATGTTAGGACACAACGTAGCTCAGCAAAACCCACCACTTTGGCAATGAAACTTTCCATGCTTGTTCTCCAGGCAGAGGATATTTTGCTTGGAAAATTGGACTGAAAGATGTGAATTCTTGGTGGAAAGGGACTGCCAGCCTGGAGTTTCAACGTATGCAGACTTTGTCTGGCTTTGCCTAAAAGGAAAACTTACTGAATTAGTTGTTTTTCGTAATGAGTAATTTTCATGTTAATACGTTCCCAGAATCCTAAATCTTTTATTGATATCTGACTTGATCTTATTTCAAGGAGAGAGCCTGAATTACTTCAGTGACATCCCTGCCTGAAGTCTCACAGCTTGATTTGCTGGGACAATCTGGAATTGAATGCAAAAATCTCCTGTGCAAGGTTTCACAAAATTCTGTGAATTAATTTTAGTTAATGTTGTTAAATTTTAATTTCACACTAGTTTAGTGAGAGAATGAGGGATATGGGTTAAATCTACTGTTCTGTGAAAATAGTATACAAACTGACCATTATGTTCATCGTGGTGAGAATGGAGAGAGAAAAAGTAAAAAATTGTGTTGCGTTTCCTAGATTACTTAATATAAGAAATAAAATCAGTCACATCAATCAGGTGTGCTGGTCCTCTGTGCCTCACATTTCCTAAATTGGAAGACTTTGAAGCCGTGCCACGGATGCCCATCGGAAGGTGGTGTTGCTCTGTGGGTGATACACACCTTGATACACAACTATTGTCACCTTCTGAACAGGGACTAAAAGTATGCTCTGGGTGAAAGATGGCAGAGAAATGAAAGCTGGATTGTTGAAAAAGTAGTTCTGCTTAGTTATTGTATTTAAAGTACTTAACCAGCTTTCATGTAGTTCAGTAGGTGTGTTCTATTTGGCTGTATCCTTGCTGATTTAGGAGTCCTCTCAACTAGTTTTGTAGTGCTGTCATTATAATTTTCTTAATCTTAAATGTTAGGAGGGTGAGTGATGTTTCCAAAATGGTCACTTTGTGGTTGTTGAAACAACCATCTCTTGAAAAGTTTCAAGCATTGCATTGTATACCTGCTTTATTATGTTGGAAAAATCACATGAAGGTCTAGCGTACGAAGGTTCCCATGGTAGACTTGGGTCTTCTGAAATGTTATCTTTCTATCTCATTTTTCCGTGTCCCTTGTATGTGTTTGTAGGAACTCCACTCAAGGTTATTTAAAAAAATGAAAAAATTGACAGATATAATGGCTTTTAAAAATGTCACATGAAATGCGTAGTTCTTTCGTGACTGTGTAATGATTAACAACTCAAGAATTGCAGGAGACATTGGAATGACTTACACACAACCTGTAAGAAAGAGTAAGCTACACTTTTACTTTGGGTATTATTGAAATAAAGTCTGCTAATAAATGATATGTTTCTCTGCCAGCCCAGTGACTTTTCTTTAGTCATCATATAGCTACTGTAGTCTTTTGATGTGCTTGACCTGTCTTGAATTACTGAAAAATAGTGAAAGCAGTAAGTCAAATCTTTGGCTTGTTGTTACCATATTTTAGTTCATAAAGATTTGTGGCCCTGTCCTAGACACCCCCTTGCTCCCAGGAATGAAAAGGAAATAAGTCGTATTTTGAGGAAGAGTCTTGATTAACTGGTAATTGTTCAAATATGGTTATTTTACTTTGGTAGTAAGGGTGTTGGTTGACATAATTTTCTAGAAGAGATCATCTGTATTCTGTTGTAACTCAAACAATACATGTAACCTGGGATAGTTATTTGTCCTTTGAGTGAGCATAACACAGCACTAATAAGACATGGGGAGGAGAGGTGTGGTGATGTGATCAGTGGCTACGCTTGGTAAGATGAATAATCTGAGATGGCATCATACCTGGATATTTTTTTATATGTATGTGGAAAAAAAAAATAATAGATGTATGAAAAAGAACTCCGACTAGGTAGTAACCTATTAGCTACTGTAGCTGCTGATGGTTGCAATTTTGCTTGTCTTAATGAATTATGTTGCACTGGGACCTGATACAGATTTTTTCCTGTTGTTGTTAGGGACCTTTATTGCTTACTGAAACCACATTTCTGGTTTGGCCCCTTCCGATTATTCCTTTCCTTTTAATTTGTATATTTTGGAAAAAAAAAATCCTCTCTGTAGACCAATAAAGGACTTGTGGATTTTTCATGTGATTAGGAATAGTATTTCACCTCTTCATAGATGCATTATGATACAGTCTTTAGTGACATGACCATATATCTTCTACAAGATTCACCTCAAGGTGGATCGCTCTGATTTAATGAGCAACTGTTTGATATTTTGGGCTAGTTTCATTGCTCAAATGGCCAGGTTGTGTTTATGATATGCTATTCAAGTCCTACTCAGAAGATGAAAGCATTAAATTTTTTTTTTTCCCTGTGGCTTTTAAGGTGTTTGTAACTACAGTGTTCATGTGATTCATTAAAGTAGTGCAGGGGTGGGCATTTTCTTCATCTTTCAGGTAGCTCCGTTGAAGCAAATCCTTGGCAAAAAGCCAAAAGAATTTTGAGAACTTAACATGCTTATTCCTCAGCATAGCTAGGCCTAAATAAGTGTTCGAAGTATGGATTTTTTTATTTGAATTTTCTGTGTATTGGCCCAGTTCAGGCACCCACGGCCTAATGGTCATCTGAAAGGTTGATTTTAAGTGACTTGCCTGGCATCGTACCAGAGATCTGTGGTGGAGTCTGGCTAAATTCCTGTTCTCCAGGACAACATTTAACTGCAGATATTCTCAAAAGCTTATAAATGGTGAAATTTGGGTCATTTCATAGGGATGACAGTGAATACATTAGTGACCTGTAGAGATGGCAAAAAAAGCATCCTTGGCGTATAGGAGATGTCCTGCCGTCTTTCTGTTACTGTTTCAGGCCCTGGGGATTGCACAACATATTTGAGAGAGCAAAGAAAACCACACCAGAAAAGCCACCATCTATATGCACATTGTGCATGTGTGCGCAACGCTGCTTTCTCTACCTTTTTAAGAAGCAGCTGACATTTTTTTCAGTTCAACACGGATAGTTGGTGTAGAAGATCTCACATTAGGGCATTTGTTTAGAAAGTTTATATACCAGGAAGAGTTCAGGCCTCATGTCGGGAATTGGGGAAATAATTGTAATTGGTATTACTGGTTTTGGTTTATGTTCCAAAGTGGCTAAATCTAGTGGTGGTGTCGGAGTGCTTGCAAAGTGATAGTTATGATGGTGCACACTGAAATGTGTCATTTATAGTTATAATACAGATGTGAACCTGAAAAGGAAAGTTGGCTTCTTCCAAAATGCTATTTTGAGACTAACAGACTAATACTATTTATCATTACTGAGTTGTAAGCGCTCCTACCT